GCTGAACTGGCACTAGTGTCTACTTCAATAGAATTAATTGGCGTTGCTTCCGGTAATCTAGAAGATTTAGCGATCAATTGCGTCGGCAATCGATGAATCATTGTTAATTTTGTTGGATCATTACGAACTTTAATTTTCCATGTTCCATTGAACCAATCCGGTATAGGCTGTACTTGGGATAGCCGCTATCTACCCAGTATCACATCAAACTTGGTATCAAATACATATGCTTGAATACAATCTGTATATCCATTTAAAGCTATTGAGAATGAAGCTATTTTGTCAATATCAGTCAGCTGTCTATTTGCAGTTTCCACTGATTGCCCATGTTTTGCAGGTATGATAGCTGATATAAACGGCAACATATCTGAGTGAATGTAATTAGCACTTGCACCTGAGTCAATTAAAACTTTGCATGGATGGCCCTTTATGAAAATCCGATAAATAGGCAATTTATTGTGTATGTTGTTAGCATTCATTAAAAAATCGATATCTTGTTTAGTCAGTTTTTGATTTATGCTTAATGGTTCAACATATGCTGATGAAGAGGGTAATACACTATACAATATTGAAGACGAATTAGAATAGGATGACGAAGAATTTAATTGAATTTTATTTCTCTGATCATTTTGATGGATAGAATTATTTTTTGGTTGCGAAATAGGTTGCTGATTTTCTGTATCATTGTAATCATTGTCATCGTAGTAATTATCATATTCTGAATTCATATAAAATGATCCCTGTTGTTGTTGCTGCGTACAATTGAACTGGAGATGACCAAATTGTCCACAATTCCAGCAATCCCAATTTTCTCCGCTTCCATATTGTGGAGTCGAGTTATTGTAACCTCCCCGAGCTCCACCACGATAGCTACCACGAAAACTGCCGTAACCACCTCTAGCTCTTCTAGCTTCTCCGAAACCACCTCAATATCCTCCGCCACAACTACCACAACCACCACGACTACCATGACTACCACGCCACGCACCTCGACCACGATTATTACCCGTATAATTGTTTTGAACAAAATTGAGCACATCTCTAATGGCTGAAAGATCCATAGGATCATCAACTGCGTCTGAATTATTAGTAGAATTGTTATTAAATCCTGGTAATTGGTATTGACCATGTTCCATTCGAGAAGATTCAAACATTTGTGCTGTTTGAATTGCTTCGTTCAGAGATGGTGGGCATTCGTTACGGTATAGTCCACGAATTTGTGCACGGACTTCCTTGTTTTTTAATCCACGCGTGAACTTATCGACAGCTTCATCATCACTCATTCGAGGAATACCAAGTCGGATTGTTAAAAACTCTGTGATGTATTCACTAATTGTTGTTTTTTGTGTTAAAGAATGTAGTTGCTCACGTAATTGAATTATGGTGTTGGTAGGACAAAATTGCTGTATGATAGATGATTTAAGGGAAACCCATGTTGATATCTTAAGGTCACTCAAGTCATTTATATTGCGTAACCATATGGCCGCCATATCCACCATTAGTGTCTTTGCGAAACGAAATTTGTTCTCATCATCCCATCCGCGAAAGGATTGATAATCCTCAACTGATGATATCCAATTGTCAATTTTAAAACGATCTCTATCACCATTATATTTCAGAGGTTTGTTGTAAAAATCTTTGTCTTCTTGTTGGTTGTTAGTATTGCGCGCTAATGCACGAGCGATACCTTGTTGTATAGTATCTGCAATTATTTGGCCCATGGCTGTTTGACTATGTGCTTCTGTCATGTTTTCTTGGTTACTGTTATTATCTGTTGATTTAGAAAATTCTTCTATGATTTCTACGATTTTTTTATTTGCTATTCTTGACCAATACGTTTCTCTTGCGAAGGTTGTTGGTGTTCTTGTTTGAGTGCTACTACCTGATGTTTCTCTTAATTCTTGGTATTGTTTGTGATATTGAACTGGTAATCCTGACTGCACACGTTCTTCAATTTCGAATTTCGATGGATAATCACTGTATGATTCCATAGATTGTTTAACCTGTTACTTGCTTATAAAACACGTATAAATTTATACGTAGTTCACTTTCAATACTGATAAAAAATAAAAAACTGGTGCTACCAGATGTCGGGTCAGATCTAAATTCTACTTTTTAGGTCAATAAAAATTAATCCCCAAAACTTTCTAATATTAATAGATCACTATTTTATGTTCTGCTATATTTTTACATAACTTAAATTCTCTGAAAAAACATTTATTTGTAAATAGGTGACACAATACCTAACTAGGGAGATGTTACTGTGAAATGGTTAAGCTTGATTTACCTACAATTTAGTACACAGGGACCTCGATAAAAGTAACGGATTACCGAAAGCATGACAACTTTTCAAGTGATTTTATCTGTTATTGTAGTTGATTGTAGCATACATTCTTTTGTTTTAATATTAACAATTTCACCCAAGACACCTTACATTTATCTGAAATGTCTTTCGAAACCTGAAGATATTAGCAGGGATTGGTTTTTTTTAAAAAAAATGTACAAGGCATGTTTTTTTTAATTTATAAAAAACTTCTTTCACAATTAATTCTTTCCAAAAATATTGCTACGACAGGAAGACCACCTGGAAAAAAAATTCTGTGAGCCATAGAGCCGGAAGACCATCTGCCCCAAAAAGAGTTGACCCCCAACAAACTACTTTATTTCAAAGTATGCGAAAAATGAACCAAAATGGCGAAAGCTCAAGTCAAGCCAATGAGGTAAAATTGGATAAATGATTTGCATGATTATAAGAAACTAACAAAGAACGTAAGCTGTGATTGAAGAATCAATAATTCAGGATAGTGTTGATGTTCCCGAAATAAATCTTTCTGACAGCCGTTTAAACGAATTGCCGGTTGTAGATGATCAAAATGCCTTTACTGTGTTGGAAGAAGAAGACATCGTCAATCGTATAATAACCGAGACTGATAGTACTAGTGATGACGAGAGAGTGACAGACGAGCAAGCATTTCTGTCTGGTGAAGTTCAGAATAGTGTACTGTACAACTATTTCGAAGAAGTCCAAAAAAGATTGACAGAAGAAACAATGCCAGCTGAATATAATTCTGGTACATTCTGGATTCGTCCCATGCAATCTTTTTTTGCATTATTGAAAAAGGAGCCCGTTGAGTATTTGTATCGTCCAGATATTTTCGTATGGATTCCACACTTATTATTAAACAATAAGATTAATGATTTGTACTATCCAACATGTTAATCATCTATTGAAACCTTTGGTTTCAATAGGAAACCCCGTACTTGGCTCATTGTTGATCTTGACAGGTTAGTGAAACCTGTAAACTTAATTCTGTTTATTTTGGAATATTAATTTTAGGTATCGTTTTAATAGATGTTTTTATATTATGACAAAAAGGTACAGATGCCTGAGTAGTAGTTGTGGCAGTACGTTTAATGGATATGATTCTAAGATTATGCGCCAATTACCCATTCAATTGCAGGCTGAATTCCCGGCATATCTTAGTCATAGAGGTGCTGTTTTTATGCAAGTGGGTGACCTTCTAAGACCCTGCATACAGAACTCGATGGGTCCTGAAGGAATTACAAAAGTTCTGCGTGAGCTCCACATTTTAAAGCATGATCGCAGTGAGTTTCAATATCTCACTGCCATGAAGGTATCTATTCTATTAATCCTATTTTTTATATGTTTTGATATTTACATGTTTTATAAAGGCTAAATATGGGGAGCAAAACATTACTCAATTTTTTTCTACCCCAACAATCATCGAACCGTTTTCGTCTTTTGACAACCAAAACGGATATGTAGGTTATATGCCAACTTAGACATATATTCGAACAATTTACACCTCCATCATCGATACGCTTAGACCCAATATGGACAAGCAAATGATGTTGTTAAGTGGAAAGGTCTTGAAAGGTGATCACTCCTTTAAGATTGTTAAACACATGGCGAGCATTGATGGAACCAGCATTTTTACTGCATTATACACGCTTTGTAACGAATTCGAAGAAATCCGAATGATGTTACTGGTACCCACGAAGTCACTTGAACATTTGCGATGCTCTTTCAACGAATTAATGAATGCATACGAAGGCTACAGCCATGAAAAGCCAGTATCTTTTTATACAGACAAGGTTCGAGGCGATCGACGATTCTTGGAAAGCGTTATACCTTGCTTGAAGGATGGTTGCGGACCTAGTAGAATGGTTAATGATGAAAACGAGGCTCAAAATCACAATGTTTTGTCACTACCGGTAAACATTCAAGTAAGCTACTTGCAAAACTATGAAGAGATTGAAAGCATAATGAAGAATTTACTGGTCGAACATTTTAATTTTGTGGCCAGTAGTGATGGATTAGAGAGCTACCCATCATCGGTCGTCACAGGCTTTGACTGTGAGTGGCCGTATAATAGAAACACGCATGTTAAAAGGAAGCTATCCGTAATCCAGATCGCACACAAGTCGCCTGCACTTGTTATACATCTTGACCCTACTTGGGAGACTTTGCCAGGATCATTTGTATACTTTTTGAAATCACTAGTAATTTTAAAAATTGGACGAAGTTGGTTTAGATTTTAAGCAAATCAAGGACTCGTTTGGTATTGATTGTGAGGGATCTTTGGAGTTAGGCCGGTTTTGTCGATTGAAAAGAGCCATTAGGTCTGGTAGTTCATCTCTTTCAGAAATTTGCAAAGAGCTACTCGGAAAGTTATTGTGAAAAGACCTTAGAATTAGTGATTGGTCATACGCTCATGACCTCACTCCAGGCCAAATTCGCTACGCTGCTGTCAGGAGCGGACAGGCGGACAGGACAGACAGAATAATACTTGCTTACAAGAACAAAGAAATAAAAGATAATTATTATTTTTATTATAAGAGAGAGAGAGAGAGAGAAAGAAGAAAAGAGGAGAGAGGGTTGTTAGATAATATATCTGATGAAGGGGAAGAAAGAAGAGGGAAAGTTAGGCTATATTTATAGTAAAAGATTGTATACATATTTAGCATAAAAATAAGCAATGACAAAGTTTAGTAAGTCATTACTTATTTATGACACATATTCGATGATTGACAGCTGACACGTAGATGACAAGGTGCTGACAAAGAATTACCAAAATTAATGCATCTACGTGACACGATCATGACAGCTGCGTTAGACGCATGGGTTTCTTTAGAAATATATGCTATTCTAAGAAATACAAACGAGAAGATTCTTGGCGACCCGGTAGTTGGCCAGTATGTCTCTTTGTGGTACTCATTTAGCGTAGCCGCATATGCAATTGTCAACTCATCAGAAACGATTTCAAACAAAACTATAGTTGAAGTTCTATTATCTGTATTGTTATTTCTAGCTTCGTAGTGCCTGCAGTAAATGATTATCAGCCAGAGGTGATACTCGAGTCTATCAAGAATAATATTCCGTATACCGTTCTGGTTGACAAGTCGCTTTTGCGTAGCGAGAGCAAGAGACACGTTGATTTAGAGATTGACAAGAAAACCAGCGGACCACCTTCATCAAATAATATTGAAATAAATGGCGGTATAAATGGAACCTACGAATCTGTAGTCGAAGATAATAAAGAAGACAGTGGCAATATCTCTGCAAAAGCTGTGACTCGGAATTTGTTCGGTGGTGATATAGAAGATGTTGATTTGTCAAACTTTGAATACGGATTTAATCAATTTAAAAATTGCCTCACTACTTCAATCAATGAGTCGACAGACGAAAGGCTTTTTAACAGAGTAGTTAGAAATGTCTTCCATCTTATGGATTCAATTAAAATAGGAGTCAAACACACGCTTAAACTGGAATTTGAGAAAAACTTCAGAAATTGTTTGTTTGTATTAGATGCGGATGACTGTCATAAACCGCCTAGGTTTCAGTTGCATACAGTGACTCACAAAACTGTCCCAATGATCGAATCATTTGTGATTTTGAGTCTATTTTTAGGGGTTTCAGTTTATTATACTACATGTAGTATAGATTTTTTAAAAGACAGAACGTCTGGTTTTCGACTCGTATATTTTGTAACACCACATGATGATTACATAATTTAATAACAATTTATAAAAAAAAAAAAAAATTATTGGGACAGTTTTGTGAGGAGTTTTATTAATGATTAATAGTGGTTTAATACTTGGTCCACTTTCCTTTTGCTTTAATACAAGCTTGAATTCGACGTGGCATACTTTCAGTTACGTTTTGGCATTCTTCTTTTTTAATTTGGTAATACCAAATATCAACAACACGTTCGTATAGCTCATTCATTCCCTTCGGCGCTGTTTCATAATCATTTAACTTCCTTTTCAAGAGAGACCACATGTTTTCAATCGGATTTAGATCCGGTGACTGAGCTGGCCAAGCCATAACTTCATAATATTGCTCGCTTAAGTACTGCTTTACTAATTTCGAAGTGTGTTTCGGATCGTTGTCTTGTTGGAATACAATTTGTTCCCGTTTTAAGCCAAGATCATCCAGATTATCCTCAATTGTTTTTTCTAATTCGTCCCGCAAAATATCGTGGTACAAATGTTGATCCATTTTTCCGTCAATTTTGCACATCCATCCAACTCCGGCATAGGTTATAGCACTCCATAGCATGATATTTCCTCCGCCATGCTTTACGGTAAGCTTTACATGATGATTTTGAAGATCTTCGCCGGATCTTTTCCATGCCCATTGACGCCCGTCGGAGTTAAATCGGTTGATTTTTGTTTCATCTGACCAAATAACACGTTTCCAATCTTCTAGTGTCCAATCCTTGTGCTTATTACACCAGTCCAGTCTAGCCTTGATGTTTTTAACCGATAATAAAGTTTTTTTTGGTTTCTCAATTGCACCTAGACCATGTTTGCGAAGTGTTCGACGAATTGTCTCAGGGTTACACTTGATACCCAGGTCTAATTCAACACCCTTGGCAACCTTCACTGCGTTTGAGACGCGTTTACGTGTCACTTGTTGTACACAATAGGACTCATCTTTCTCAGATAGTAACTTTGGACGTCCGCCTTTTGAATTTTTTAAGCCTGTGTAACGTTCCTTACTTATTCTGGAAATGGTAGACTTGCTGACACCCAATCGTACGCCGATATCACGCGCTGATAAGCCTGATTGAAGCAAGGAGATTGCTGAATTTCGTGTATCGTCGGAGATTCTTTTCATATCGGAATTTGTAATTTTAACTTTGTAGAAATAACTTCTTATGTTTGGTGGAACGTTATGGGCCATTTAGGCGTCTTTGTTTTTTATTTTTATACCTTGTTCAAGTTGTGGTTTTAATTTTTTCGCTTTATTTGAAAACTCACAAAACTATCCCAATTTTGGGATTGAACTAAAACTCTTGGTACTTTTCACCAGTTTTTTTCTGTGTAACATCCTATATATGGTAAGAAAGCCTACAAATTTCTCGTTCGATCAAGGTATAACTTGCTAGTATAATGGAGATCAACAACTTCTGTTATAATGACGCAAAACAAATTCTCACAACATTGGGACAGTTTTGTGGGTCACTGTATAATCATGCAAAATGTCTCAGACAATTATTGAAACCCAACTAGCCCGTTGTCCCTGTTCCACCTGTTCCCTGTTCTCTGTCTCCTGTCACACATATCACTGTCAAACATCAATATCGTATCCTGTCTAACGTCTCTGTTCAAAATAATGTATCTCCGTTATCCCTTGTCCTTGTAAAACCCATTTAACATCCGTTTCCTTTGTACCTCTGCCTTTGAACTCACTTGTAAAACATTAATAATATCAGCCCATGTTATCCTCTGTATCTATGCCCCGAAATTATCTGTATCTATGCACGCTATCCCAACGAGTTGCCAAGCTCGATATGACTAATAGTCTGTCTCTGTAAATCTGATCCCCGAACCCTTGTTTACCCGATCTGTCAATCAATATAAATAACAGCATGTTTATTTATTCTTATGTCGGTATTCAAGATCTTATCTATTTTTCCTGTTTCTCTGAATAAACCTTTTTCTACCTTCATTCCTTTTATATATATATTAATACTAATCACAGTAAATAAAAAAACACTGAACCTACTCTGAAAATTAACTGAATTCTAGGTATCTGAAATACGTTCAGATTCAGTGCATTCAGTGTAAAAAAGTTACTGAAAATTAAAGGTTTTCAGTGACGGCCACCATGCAAAATTAAGTGTATTCAGATGCCTCCATTCAATCCATTCAGTGTTTTTTCTTTATACAATTAATGTCATTCAGTACCTAACATCTGACGGATACCAAATCTTATTGGATAAAGCACTTAGCTTAGCACTATACAAAACACGTGTATATTATAGGCTTTCAATGATAATCATTCAAAATAGGTTTTCATTATTTCAGTAAAGAATGGGATGTTATAAATGTTTATTTAAAATATAAAAAGAGAATAAACTAAACGATAATATTAACGGAATATGTTGCCAATAACTAATCTGAAGAAGTAATTTCTTTAGTAAATTGTATATAGTTTACATATGCATTACCTTTGTTAGTTTTTCTTTGCTTCTCTTTTCTTTTCTTTTTGCTGTTTCTGTCGTCTTTTTTGTGGCTATAATGCCTTCTTTTCTTCTAAATCAGAATTATATTCGGTTAGCATTAAATAAATGAAGTATTCGCGTGAGTTTACTTCGGTAGTAGTAGATTCATCTATATCCAATTCCTGGCTATTTTCTCCTTCAAGAAGCACCTCATCAAGACTAAAGTTCTCGTTACTATTAGCGACCTTGTCACTTTTTTGTACGTCTTTTTGTTTTGATAGGAGCGTTTGATGAGGTATAAAGATACCCAGTTACCCTCACAACGAGACAAGTCAATACCCATTTCAGCAGCTCGTTTATTCAATGATGTTATAATCCTTTGAATTACGCTGGCAGGCAAATCGGACCAAACAGGAGGCTTCTGTTGATATGTGATATCAATCGCGTATTTGACCCTGAAATAAGCCCCACTTCGTATGTTCGCGTAAATATTAACGGGGTCGATTGAGCCATCATTATTCAGGATCGTGATCGCGTTGATAATATCTGCCTTGGTGATTCTTTTCTTGATATCATTGCCATCCTTGGATACTGTTGGCATAGGAACAGTGCGGGGGTCGCTTGCTGCTGAAATGGCTTCTTGATTATGAGAATCGTTTGCCTCAATGCGGTACTGTTCGATTACCGTTTTCAAACTAGTAATTTCCTCAGCATTTTTTTTTATAACTTCCTCTTGTAATTCTAGCTTTTTGCAAATCTCATCCTGAATGTCTAGTTTTTTTAAAATCTGCTTTAACAAGTCTGAGGTTGATGACTCGAATTTGTTCGTTTTAGGAGGCATGTTTTGTACTTTGTAAGAAAATAAAAGATTTTTTTAAAAAAAGTGGCGTATCTGTTGGTGCTTTGTTTACAAATAGTGACTTTAAATATTTTGACGATAATAATTTAATTTAGCTCAACATGATGTTTTGTTTCAGCTTTACTCTTTAACCTACCATGCCTTTTGAATGCCCCGATTGTAAAAAAATTATCACAGGCAGAAATCGCAACAGCCATATGAGACTCCATGAGTCCGAAAGGGCGATAAATGACATGACAAGCACCGTAATGGATTTTCACGAAACAGAGTTTGGTTACAAACGTCAAAAAGTAAACCAATCAAATTCAAGTAATTTGTACCTTCAATCGGATGTTGACGTGAGGGATGATGTTGTCGTGAATGACGATGTTGATGAGGGAAAGACTGATTTTGGCAGCCCTTTCTATGATGATAACAATGATATGGATTTCGAAGTTCCAAATGATGATAACTTCCATAAAGTATATATTATCCCCGAATCGGACAATGATGACTTTGAAATTATGGATAAAAAAAACGAAGAAATCCATACCATTTTCAAGAAGCATAATGTAACGCAATCAACTATAAATGATATAGTAAAATGGTATAATAAGTATAAAAAAGAAGGTAAACGTTTCTCATATTGTTATCGATTTTGGGTTACTGAAAATTTGTTTAATTAAAGATGATTCCAAACTTCTTTCGCATTGTAAGTACCAGACTTTGTTCAAGAAAGAGTCACCATTCAGGCCCTTTGCTACTGACATCTGCCCGGAAACTTGCCATGTTTACAGCAATGATAATGAAACTGAGTGTCCTAGCTGTGGTACCTCTCAATTTGAAGAGAAGAATTTGACTTTTGTACCAAGAAGAACGTTTTTACAATTGGAAGTGGCCCCCCAAATTGCGTCTTTATATAAAAACAAAAGCTTCGTTTCTGGATTCGACACACCCATTGAGGATATTGTTAAAGGAAATTACATCAAGTGCTTAAGAAACGAACATGGCCTCTTTCAAGGACAGTACGACATTGCACTTACTTTGTTTACAGATGGGTTCCAAACTCATGATAGTGGAGGGACAAAATTAAATTCTGTCATTCTTCAAGTATTGAATATCCCAGATAAAGAAAGGTAATTACTCACAAAACATGACATCAATTCCTAAAGAGTGTGTACTCCTAAATTAAAATTATTTATATAGACTGAAGAAAGAAAACTTGATTGATATAGCCTGTATTCCAGATACCAAACATTTGACAAAGTTTTTGAGTTCATTTATTTTGGAAATGGAGAACCTTTCTACAAAAGAATGGTTGTTTATGTAGGGGAAAAAAGATATGCCTTTAAAGTGCATCTTGTTGGATCTTTTGGTGATATCCCGTCTGTGTCAGAAATGAACTTCTTATCTGGACATATGTCATACTGGGGTTGTCGATTCTGTACGATAAGATCCTCGCGTGTCAAAAACACGATGTGTTTTGGAAAGGCTACCAACGATGAGGAGGATCCTGTCCGTCTCAGAACTATTGATGAGTTTAAAAATGGAGACTTGGAACATGGAATCAAAGAACCATCGATTTTCAGAAACTTGCCATCATTCACAAGCACATCATTTATTGGGTTGGATGAATTCCATATGTTCGGCCTCAGCATTGCAAAGCAACTTGTCAAATTCCTAAAAGGAGAAGGTGAAACGATTTTGAAGCTTAAACATAGATATTGGTCAAGACTTGGAGCAAGTATAAAGGAACAAGGACAATATTTGCCATGTATCTTTGATGGTGAGATGAAGGATGTTCTCAGCAACACAAAACATGCAAGAGGTGTTGACTATATGCTGTTCTTAAAGTATATTGTGCCAACATTTGTTACTGAGCAAATTCAAGTCCAACAAACCGAGACAAGCGTCAAAAAAAATAATCAAGAGGATATAGATGCTGCTATTGAAGCCTTAAGCACCATCTCAAAAATATGCTCAATTGCCACTCAGTACGACATATCTAATGCCGAGCTTCAAGAATTAGACAAGCTTATTCCATTATGGCATAATGTTTTTGTCAAATACTTACCGGAAGAAAAGTATAATATCAATCAGCATTATCTTTTACACGTTACTGATGTAATCAGAGACATGGGATCGTTGAGAAAGATCAGTTGTCGAAGCATGGAGCAAAGAATACATAGGTTTAAATCTAGAATAAACTCGACATCGAGAGCAGAAAAAAACGCCGTCAACATCTTGATCAATGAAGCGTATGACTATTATCAAATTCGAGGCATTAACAGCGCGAACAATGTGTCAGAACAGTCTGTTGTCAACAGTTTCAAGTATGTTACAAGCATAAATCAATATAACAATTACAGATTACGAGTATTATTGTCAAGTTGGTGGGATATCCCTGAGACAAGCGTCGCTGAGAATATCCATTGCGCAAAAAAAATAGACATCGGCAAAAAACGTTTATTTGACAGTAGTTTACTTGTATCACATAAAAAAAGGAGAATGAACCAGTTTGCATTGATAAATTTGGGAGAGGATTCCAATCAGGTTATAGGCAAGATTCTTTTGATGTTTGAACACTATCAATTTCAGTCTAAACAGCAACTAGCATTAGTGCACATTTATCAAAATATACATATTAATAGAGGTGGAATATTATTTGGTGACGTAACAGAGAGAGGAAACCAAGATAAGATTAATTCTTGTTCAGTATTGGAACTTGTTAAAATTGACAGCCTTGATTTCACTGCTGCTGCAATCGTTTCAAATCTGAAAGAAAATGAAAATGTCATCTATTTTTTCTGGCCTGAAATGAAAAGAGTGGATTTTGAAATAGGAGAATCTGATTGCTTTCAAGATGACGACATAACGAATTTTTATTAATAAAATTAGCAGCAACTGGGCAGACACAACTTGTTTAAGGATTTTGCCAAAAGGTGACTTAAAAGCTACAGGATTGCTGGTTAAGTTTTATGTGTGCAACAAATGGGTCAATATTAATGCATTGAAAAGCCACTGAAAACGAACTGAATTTTTAGTTGGATTTCAGTGAATTAAATGTGTTGCTATTAATGCATTGAAAACACACTGAAAATTGGCCGTATAACCACGTCTGGGGGTATCGCAAAAATCTTAATTAATTTTTCAAAAATTACGTAATTAATTTTTGAAAAATACAAAGCGGGCCCGAAGGGCCCGCTGAAAACGAGAATCGATAGCATTCTAAGCTTAAAGATATGGAATTTTATGCTTTAATTTGATTTGGCTTGTGTGTAAATAATAAAAATGAGAAAAATAAAGGTTTTCTGTTTGTGTATTCTTTAAAGGCGAATATTGTATTGAATACTTTGTGAGATTTTTTTTTTGATGTTGTAATAATGTTGTTTACTTTCTAAGACATTCTTTTGTATTTTCAAATCTTGCGGGGCAGTCAGAATTTGCACAGATACCACATTTAAATTTACAGTATAGTGACTTCGAGCTACCTTTACAAGTGGGAGAAGTGTTTTGGCACAATTGGCATTTTCGAGGAGCTCGCTTTATACTTTTCTTGATAGGGCTATTGCTGCAGGCTAATTCTGTAACATTGTTGCTTGAGTTTATACTGGCATGGTTAGACTCCACATCGATTATCTGCAAAGTAGTATTATTTCCAATTCCAAAAATATTAGATGGATGAACTTCGTTTGGAATATCAATAAGGGTAGGTGGCCTAGGTGCAATGTTGATAGGTGTGGAAGTCGTTTGTTCTAAGCAATCACTACTTGGAGTGATTGTTCTGTTAAGTGTGTTAATAGTAGGTTCAAGTCTTCTGTACTTTTTGGCGGCTGTAGATGTATTGTATCTTCGTTTAGATTGAGCAGCTAAACGAATTGATCTTGATGCTACTATGTTGTGCGCTACTGTATCACGGTACTTTCTTCTATCTTCAAGTATATTATTATAAGAGCAAAGATGCTCAGGCGTTTTGTAGTATATGAAGTTGGTAGAGGAGCAAATCTTGGACCAAGCGGCTGCCATTAATCCAAAGTTCACAATGCCATTGGCAGATTTAAGGTATGCGTATTTTGAGTTTTCATTGGAATCATCCAACATAAGATCAAATAATGATTTTTCTTGGGGAGTATGTACCGCAGTTACTGCATATTTGGTTCCTTGACATTTGCTCAGATATCGATAAATAAACTGATGGGATGCATAGTACATGTTGGGAAGTTTCACTATAGGTATAGCGCTAAGTTCAAAAATTCTTTGTTCAGTGATTCTTGTTTTGGCGAATCTATTCAAGTTATTCTCTTTTTTTTCTTCTAAAAAGCGTTTTGATGGATTTTTGTTATTGACTGACTTGATTGTTGTGTTATTTTCAGGTAGACCAGACTGGAAATACGTATTGGGGTCATAGGGAAGCATCAGGTGGTCATTTTTGATATGAGAAGGAATTGGTGATATGCCAAATTTTTCATTTGTATGACCATATAAGTAGGCGCTTTCTAACATACTACTTCCAAAATAGGAATCAGTTCGCATTGGATGCCCAACTTTAGAACGCAGAGCATCAATAGACGAGATAACCAAGGGCTATAATGACTTTTGTGAATAATACCGTAGCGGTTTTTAGAGCCCATCTATGAAATGGCACATTGTTAATAATAGCTTGAATTAAACAAATTGCATTTAAACTTACATTAATGTTGTGAAACAGACGGTAATCATAAAGAGCCATATTAGTGAGTCTTGGCCCAGCATTAAAAGACGAAAATTTTCTGATAATATTGAAATGACAGGATCCTTCCACAGATGAAGTACCTCTACTACAAGCATACCTCATTAAACCTTTTTTATCGAAACCTTTCTCCGTGTACAAAGGCGGGCCATCAACAATATCAGACACATATCCAGCCTTAATCTGATCCATCACTCTTTTTGATGCTGATATAGACTCTTTATCAAATAGAGGATTTCCCGTTTTTATACATACAAGATTAGCATATTTATCAAAGCAATCTGGAACAAGGTTTGCGAGCTCATTTGGCGGCGGTATACTTCTTCTAACCCGCTCCCATATGAAATCTGGATTGTTAACTAAATGAGTTGCCCAATCTGAACCAATGCTGATCACATATTCTTCTACTTTCTTTTTGTCTTCTTCATTTACAGCAAAAAGACAATCTCTAAACCTGCGTTTGAAATCCTTTGCCATACCATGTCTTAGAGATATAGGTATCTGTTCGATCAAATGAAAAGCATCCTTTAATACTCTACTAAGAACCGTTGCTTTTTCGGAAGTACTTCTATGTTCATCAAGTCGAACAGGCGCGTTACTAGACGAGAAAGAGATATTTGCAGGAATGGTTGACTCGGTAAGAGTCTCCGAATGTATATCCCTGAGATTTATAGATTCAGAGGCGGTACGCAGGCATTTGTATTCCACATATGCAAGAAAGGGCACGTCTCCGAACATCTCCAAAGTAACACTTCTGTCTTCACATCCACTATTCGCTGCTTTGTATTTATCCAAAATTAATCCAGGACGTTTAACTTTCACGAACTTGATGAGAGCCATATCAGTTTTTTCCAGGGGAGTAAAAATAGAATTCTGTAAAGAAAAATCATGACTTTCAGGATTATTAGAGTCAGCAATGTAGCCAAAAGCTGCCGCTGTCACTGTTTTCGATGCACTTCGGGGGAATACACCAACAAACGTACCAACTGGAGTATTTTTTGTAACATACTCATTCACCAGTTGCATTCCTTTTACAGAATTGTAAACGGCAATCGCTACATATGCATCCAAAGCTGCGTATCGTTTTTGCTGATCACTTAACTCCAGAGCTTCCCAATTACTTAATCTAACATCATTGCTTTTTGGAAGATGAATTTTAAGAATAACATTACATATGTCACTCAGTGATTTTCTACTACTGCTAATAGCATTACGATTGAAGCAGTAAGTACCAAGCTCTAGCTCGCCATTGGTCTCAGAAACATATCGTTTCAATCTTGTCAAATCTCCACCAACATTTTTTCCAATTTTTCTTATTCTTTTGGAAGCTATGATTTCTTTGAGTTTTCCAGGAAATGTATTTCGATCAAAGCTGAAGTTTCGGAAAAGGAAGATAGTATTTGATTCCTCATGATAAATTTGAACTAAAGCAACATGGCTTGTTGGGGCACGGGTTGTTCTAAAATTGGGAGCGACCCATTCACAGTCAAATCCGACAAAAATCTCGCTGCTGTTATCGTCAACATCAATAGTATCTAAAATTTTCTGACATGATTCATCTATCCCTTGCGCTGTATCTCTTATTTCGATTGCGATACTTTCAGGCAATACTGCTGGAGGAAACTGATCTTTGTTTGATAAATTTGCATCGCCTGTAGATTTGTCAATCACAATTGCTCGTACATTGTCTGAAAGAGAAGGAATATAAGCCTCGAGTGTATTTTTGTCTGCAGCTACGTTGTCAGTATAAAACACCTGTGGCATATCAAATCCATAACGTCGATAACTTTCCATCATAGACCCAAAACTTCCGGATAGTTCCTTAAGAGATTTTGTGTGAGCCAACACTTGCATTCGTATTTCCTCATATTCGTTCATAACAGTGTAAAGAGAAGAAAACACAGATGTACCGTTTGTTTTGCCCATGTGCTTAATTATTTTAAAAGAGTGATCTCCCTTTAATATAATTCCATCAGTCATTGAAGTCAACTGGTCCATGAACGGGACAAATTCTTCAATAAGCGACGAATAAACATGAATAAGATAGTTAGCGCAAGGAATATATCCTGCATACGTTTGCTTATCACCAAATGAAGAAAACTCATCATACGACACACTGCCACCATCTCTTTTTTTTCTTAGGCAGTCAATCATGGTGGGATTTTGTAATTTTTCAACCATTTTGTTGTAATACTGGAATTGAAGCTCATCGAAATGTTCAGTATGCATAACTCGTAATACTTTACTCAGTCGCTGTGGCCCAACACCGCTTTGAAATAAAGGTCGCATAAGTTTTGCAAGCTTAGTAGATATTCCAGAAGATTCGGTCAAAATGGCTGGAAATTCTTTGGCATAAATTCTAGGTAACTGTTGCACTAAACCCTTATCATATCCGTTGAAAGAGTGGGGTGTTTTGTCGTTGGTGCATCTGTATCTTACAGTCATCAGGTAGAAAGAGCTTAATAAAATTTAATGTAAGTTGTCTACAAAGATAATCGCTAAAAATGACATAGCTAAATACTTACTCATCTAAATCAGTAATTCTTCTTGCTCTAGGACATGTATTCCATTCTTTAACAAAAAACGTGGTAGGTGTACTACATTTTGGGCATTTTAAATTTGAAACAAGGTGGTGAGGAAACCACAAAAAGACTCTTGGCTGGTATAAGACATTTGGTGTTAACTCTAACTGATCTTTTAGGGCAAAGACAGGATTCTTCCTTTGTACTCAAAAAGTTCCATTTTGGTATTCTTTTGGTGGCTTTGGAAATCGAGGTGGGTCCTTCTTGTTGTCCTCTTTTATTCTATCTTGAATACTCTTCAAAAATTTATCGATAACACTGTTCTCTTGTACCAATCCAGCATCTCTATCAATCTTCTGCATCATATCTTCGTCAAGTTCTTCCAACAACTCTTCTTCTCCGAAAACATCAGTTGTTGCGTTTTGGAAATCATTTGAAGAGGATTGTTCCTGATCGTTCGATATCTCTCTTATTTCTACATTATCGCTTTCGCTTAACTCGGTTGAAGTTGTGTTTTGGCGGCCGGTATTATTATTACTAGAAGATAAAAATAATAGAATTATCTTAAATGGGCGTTAGAGTTTTAGAATGTATGTGGATCGTAAAGAAGGGTCATTTCTTACTTCTTTATCTGTAGCCGTTGTATTCTCAGGAATAACGTTTGTTTCAATAAAATCTTCGGGATTCGTGTTTGACACAGAGGTAATGTTGTCTGTAGACGCAGTAGTATTACTTTGGTTAGTCAAAAAGGCCGTCATTCTAGACTGGTTCGCACTATGATTTCGAATAAGAGTTGCATTGGTTGTACCGAAAGGACGTCCACGATTAGGACGTACTCTGTCTTTTGTTACTCGTGGTTTAGTGCAATTAAACTTTCCCATCGGTTACTTTGAGGTAAGATGAAACTAGATCAATCAAAAGAACGTTACTGAATTTTTTTTCTTTCTTTTTTTCTTTTTTTCTTTTTTCTTTTTTGACAGCTTTACATGTGACTAGTGTTTTTGCACTAATACATAGCACTATTATCTCCAACCATTGCTCTCTCATATTTTTTATGGAACCGTTAGTAACTTGAATACTCAAGCTTATTAAAAAAGGTGATGGTATTTCATCCGTATTATTAATGCGTGAAAACTAGAAAATGTATCTTTTGAACTCCATTACACTCTTTTTTGTTCTCTTATTGGCTATCTTACACTTGTTTTATGGCCCTCTTATTGGCCTACATATTAGAAGCTGTATTTAGCCTATCAAAGCAGCCCGTTTTCTTTTAAACTCCCTTACACTATTCAAACTCCCTTACACTCTTTTCTGCATTTTTATTGGACAGCATACCCCCATCTACAAGCATACGGCCTGAAAATTAACTGAATCGAACACTGAGCTGAATTTCTGAATTTCCTCTGAAATTTGTCTGAGCTGATTCAAGAACTTCAGTAGCCGTTTAAGTGTATTCAGTGTCCCAAATAAAATTTCAGTCACTTTTCAGATCACTTTCAGAACGTTCAGATAACTTTCAGCATTTTTTTATTTACAGTGAATACATATATAATCTCTCTTTGTCTTGTCCCCACCTTAATAATTATTCTGTTCTGCTCTTGCCCCGCCCCGCTCCTGACAATGACAAAGAAAAAGTGTCCATCGTTCTGTCACGCAATGGAACAAGTTTCGAAAATCAATTGAACAAAAACTCTACCTGGATTTGGAAACGAATCAAACGAAATATCCCACCTCCTCTTATCTTATATTCCAGTTTGTATAACCTTTTTTTGTTATTTGGTTCCCTTAAATGTACGAAATCTGGTTTACCTTTGTTTTACAAGGTGGCATGGAAAAGTGCAGTAAATGTTCTCGTTGCAGTAAAGGATGGGCATGTGTCAGATCCCCCGTGTCTGTCTTTTAACCATGTTCGTGGTAAAGATCGAGACGGTCTAACTTTGTATAGATGTATCAGTGTCGATCTGCTCTCCATAGATTTATGCAGGTTTATTGTGCTTTGTCATTGAACAGATTAGAAAAAATATCTGCCAGGAGAAACTATATAAATGTTGTTGAGCAAAGAAAACTCCCTGTAGAAACATGGCTAGGCGATGAGGAAATGGATTTTCAGAAAAATTGCGTTTTTATAGATGAGGCCGGGTTTAATGTTAACATCACTCGCAACATAGGATGGTCTAAAAGAGGAACACCTACAAAAGCCATCGTTCCATCCGCGCGAAGTACATCAATTACAATTGTGGGTGCTATTTCAGTTGATGGTGTTATATATATTTCACTTAGAAAACCTACATCATCTGTTGCCACTAAGAAAAGAAAGGTTGACGGTAGAAAGGTGAAGATTAATGGCCGAGTGGGCACGCGGTCATAGCACTTCCTTACGTATATAAGCAGCATGATGGATTGCTTGGACCGAAATAGGCTCTTTGGCTACTATCTTGTAACGTATAATGCATCTATACATAAGCCAGCTACAATTCGAGAGCTTATTGAGAATAGAGGATATAAATGCGTTTATGTACCTCCTTACTCTCCGTTTTTAATTCTATACAAGATTTTTGGTCCAAAGTAAAGGCAGGTATTAAAAGGAACGCTTTGGATTCAAGTGATCTTTTAACACCGAGAATAACGGGGTCTGTTATCAACGTAACATTGAACGAATGCTGCGGATGGATTAAACATTCAGTATCTTTTTTTCTTCGTTGTATTGTTAAGAAAAAGATGTTATAATAACATTCACAAAAATTAAATTCTCTAAAAAATACAGACATTTTGCAGAAAAATTATCAACCACATTTGGAAAATTTAGCGTCTTACTTTGGAAAAAATTTAATCATTTATTGGAAAATGAGGTGTGAAATCCGGTAATAACAAAACCCAGACTTTAATAAGGTAGTTATCGTTCTTCAAAATTGGGTTGTAAAAGGCATATTTTTATTTATTTTATCTTTTGTCTAATTTATACTGTATTTGAGTGAGACACAATGTAACTGTTACCACCTAAGGACTCATGTACTCTTCAATTACTCTACCAGTGTAAGGGAATACACTAATATTATTTATCCTTCAATTTCATGTATACTCCGGGCCGGACAACAGCACCATAAAACACATCGATAATGTCGGAGTAAAAAACATTTAATTACATATTTCGTAATTATGCTTAGAGCATCCCCAGCGGTTTGCTAAATTTATTAAATTTGTTTTTTTTTTAACAAAATGAAACTCCAGCCGTTTGTTAAAAAAAAGCTAAATTTGTAAACGATCAATTTTTTTTTAAAAAATAAATAAATCTGACATTCTTTCAATTTTTTTGCCTTTTCCCGATAAATTTTTAAAATAACAATGTCGTATCAACAACAACAACAAAAGCAATAAAAAAAGCAAAAGGAACAGCCCAAGGGTAATAAGCGTGCCCGTGGCAATAACTGGACTTTCGAAGAAGACACCCAGTTGTGTAAATCTTGGGTCGAAGTCGCAACCAACCCAAGTTAGGGCAACGAACAGAAGAGTCCTGACTTTTGGAAGGCTGTCGAAGAAGACTTTGAAGTTAACTTCTTCAAAGTCTACAAACGTCCTCTAACTGAAAGAGCAGAAAACTCTCACCAGAACAGATTCACGACGATTGCATCTGCTGTCAACAATTTTTGTGGGTTTTTTGATACTTGTATCAGAGGCCCTGCCTCTAGTGGATCTGATCCCTCTGACGCCGTATATAATACAACTGAAAATTATTTGACATATGTAAAGACTTACAGTATATTTTTGAAACAAAAGGTTATTAAAGCCACTAAGATATACACTACGCAGGAAATGAGTGACTGTGTAAGATTGTTGGGAACATAGACAAGCATCTTTATAAAATTATTTTGAAGATGAACAAAATAAAACCATCAACTATTTGTGACGGGAGTTGAAGTTTAAACGAAGCTAAATTTTTTCCAGCATGACAATAACCCTAAGCATACCTCCAAATATGTCAGAGCATACCTTCAGTCCCAAGGTTATCAAGTTATAGATTGGTCGCCGCAATCACCTGACCTCAATCCAATCGAAAATATGTGGCGATCATTAAAAATTAGATTGAGCGAGTACGAAACACCGGCACATGGTATACAAGAGCTATATGAACGGGTAACCGAAGTTTGGTATGACCTTATAACAAAGGAAGAGTGCCGAAAGGTCATTGAAAGCATGCCAAAACGTATTGAACTGTGTATAAAGGCTAAATCTACTGGACCAAATGTTAAACTCAAGTTACCAAATAAAAATCCATTTTTTTTCACCCGTGCAAAACTTTTTCAATGTAACGCTTGATTTTGATTATATTAGAACCTATCCATTTATAACTCGGACTTATAAATTAAAATTATATTATTGTAGTTGAAACGTGATGCTTTTTAATGATATATTTTGCATTATATTTGTTAACTGGGAGTTTCCTTAATAACGTAATTTCCAAAAAAAATTGTAAATCGTTGTAGCAGTTTTGCTTGACACTGTAGGAACTATTTTGAACATGTCTAAGCTCATGATAGTGGGATCACTGCCAGTGTCAATCAATGTTGACACACTAATGTTGTTACTTTGATACAGATTTTTGGCTTTGTAAATTGCGTGTTGGCCACTTTGGTTAAACAAACCGAACATCCCGCATCATCTGTATTTGTAGCAGCATCCACCTGTTGTACGGATGCTGTGTTTGGATACTTCTTTGAATTTCCGCTCTTTTTCAATTTATCCTTGCGGAAACAAACCTTAGACTCATGTTTATGGCCGCGAAATTCGCAGTAAAAACGGATAGGTTTTCATTTCCGCTCGTATTGTCGTATATAAGTACCTTTGTTTCTTGCTGGCATACTTGGTTGATATGGATGATGAGCTACAGCTAACAATGTATCCATAAGGTTCATGTCGGTGGGTTCTTCATCATCCACATACGGTTCTGCCGTTGTACCAATTGGCTTCAGATCTTCTTCTCATCCACCTTTTTTTTCCGATTCTAACACCGACTGGGTGGCATATAAAAGTGTATCAAAAGCTTTCACCTCATTTTTACTGAGTACAGTACATCTATTTTTTAATGAACAATTGTAGTTAAAACGGACATTTTCAGAAGTTCAAAGCCCGCTTTTTACACTGGTAATTTTCATA